CTTCTAAGAAAGAAAGGCAGGATAAATGCTTCTTTTCCTTTTAATTTATGCTTTTTAAATGTTAGTTTCTAGTAACTTCCAATGATGAATAATTTGCTGTATCATTTATAATTCATAAAATTAAGTGTATTTTGTGCATTGTTAACACACTGCAGTCATTGTATGTATTGATGCTCAAACAGTCCCATCTCTGGCCAATTGGAGCCTCTTCAAATTGGCTCCTCTTCCCTGACCAACCCATGTTGGGGTCACCACCTGCAGGGATCTGCCCTGCAGACCCTGACGATGGATAAATAAAGTACACTGACACACAGATATTTTGCTTTGCCAGTTCAGCTGAGGGTCCGTGGCTGCTTACAGGCTCCCTGGAGAGTGCTGTAAACAGTTGCAACAGCCGGCCCCTACCAGCCAGAGAGACTTGGATTTCTTGAGTAAAGTTTAATTGACAAAGGCTTGAGTCAACACCAGTAGAGTGATGAGATTTAAGGACAGGTTCCCATATCCAAAGCAAACACCTTTAGAGGGTAATATCTCTGGTTGACCTTCCCCAGAGAGGGCCATCCAGCTCAAAGGTTAGTTTTAAGACCGTAGAAGTAAACAAGTTAGTTAGGTAAACTCCCCTACATACCCTATTGGTTTTACTTATAAACTAAATGTAAAGGGGATTCAGGCTGCCTTCAGCCAAGAACTACAGAAAAAACACTTGGGCCTTCTAAAAGGGTTTGAGACTATATTCTATACCTTTCTCTAATATTTTTCCCTTAATATATTTTGCCACCACCCTCAGTGAATTCCCACAACCCCATCTAAAATTACTCCATTCACTCATTATAATTCTCCACATCCTTACCTTACTCACTTTTCTTCATAATACCCAATTACTTGAGGATATTTTAGTAATCCATTTACTGATTTATTTACTTGTTTACTGCAGATTCCTCACTATAATTTAAACTCCATGAACAGAGGGCAATGAAAAAAATATATACATAAAAGTCAAAATACAAAAGATGAGCTAGAAAGGGATTAGATCCAAAATACAGGTAAAACGGAATCACTAGGGAAGAAATTTTCCCCTACTGAAACAGAGGAAAGAAAAGGGAGGGAAACAAGACAGAAGAGAAACAAGTGATAAATGGAAGTATGGATGAAATTTCTTTGGTGGGTAATGCTGAGAAGATCTAAATTTTCTTCCCAAGTTTCAGGTCTCTTCTTCACAATCAACATCTAAGGGGTGTGTCTCCTCCCCAAACAGCAGGTCTGGCCATGCCACAATGGCTGGCCAGACCTGCTGTTTGGGGAGGAGACACACCCCTTACAGACCTCTGACTGATCAACACTTACCTAGGCTCCATCTTCTCTTCTCATCCCTCACAACCAACCAAGGCTCTTTCCCTTGTTCCAATAGGGTGATCACATCTGGTTTAGAAATGGAACATCCTGCTTAAAAGCAAATAACAGAACATAATAAAGAACTCATTTAAGACTTCAAACCAAAGGTGACTATCAGAATTGAAAAACATTCATAGTATAGAGTTACTTTAGGATCACAAGGAAAAACAAGAACAGACAAGTAGGGACCCGCTCTTATTTTAATTTAAACTTACACAGGCTCTGTCTCTTGAGAGAAAAGAATAGTTGAAAGCACTTGTTTCAAATCCTGCCTCTCTTTCCTATGTCAGTAGAGCAAATAATTCAACCCCTCTGTGCCTCAGTTTTCTCAGATGCAAAAAGAGGATAACAGTAATGTGCACACATAGCATTGTTGTGAGATTTGATTTAATGTAAGTGTTTAGATGAGTGTCTGGTACATGTTAACCATTATATACGTTCATGAGGCACTACATTCGCTATTTTTTAAATATTATTTTACTAACTGGAAAATAAGTTTCTTGTCAAAATATGCATGCCGTTACATGCAAATTCGTGTATTTTAAACTTAATCATAAGCAGTTAAAATATGTCTGTTGGCCGGGTGTGGTGGCTCATGCCTGTAATCCCAGCACTTTGAGAGGCCAAGATGGGCAGATCACAAGGTCAAAAGATTGAGACCATCCTGGCCAACATGGTGAAATCCCATCTCTACTAAAATAGAAAAATTAGCTGGGTGTGGTGGCACACACCTATAGTCCCAGCTCCTTGGGAGGCTGAGGCAGGAGAATCACTTGAACCTGGGAGGCAGAGGTTGCAGTGAGCTGAGATCACGCCACTGTACTCCAGATTGGCAACAGAGCAAGACTCCATCTCAGTAAATAAATAAATAAGTAAATAAGCATGTTGTAGGAAATCGAATACTGTCCACTTAAGTTTTAACAAACTGTCCATTCAACCCAATATCACATACATTGTAAAAGCTCTTTTAACAGCTATGTAAAGCCAGACACCTCTGTCTTCTCATTCTCACTGTAAATGAGTTCATGAATAACATAGACCATCTATAGCGGTATGAAATCAGATTTCTTTGACAATGGTTTTGCCATGAGTGTCTAAGAATTTACACCCAGCTGTCATTAAAGAGCAGTAAAAACAGAAAAGTCAAAGAAAAATGTAAAGGTCACCAAACTATGGGGAAAGATGAAGGTGCTTAATAGTGGTACCTACTGTCAAACCACAAAGCAGATATTTAGCTAGTTTTCAGAAAGACAGCCCAAAAATTCAGTCCTGTGAATGTCTAAGTTATCTGACACAGACAGGCTTACCTAGTGACACCAAGTTGCTGTAGTTCTCTAATATCACATCTCTGTACAAATTCCTCTGATACGAATTCAGGCATTCCCACTCTTCCTGAGAAAAGTCTACAGCCACATCTCTGAACATCACCAAATCCTGAAATGATAAACACATGTGTTATTTGTAAGATAAATGAAAATATTTTGAAGATGGAAGAGGTGGCTGGGTATAGTGGCTCAATGCCTCTAATTCCAGCACATTGGGAGGCTGAAGCAGGAAGATTGCTTGGGG